AACAAAAGAAACCAAAAAATGGCTAGGTTATTATTTTTGATCTTTTTAAAAAGTCCCTTGTTTAGTTGAGAAGCACAATTAAGATATTCTACAATAAACCAGGATGTATTTTTGTTTCCTTTCCTACTCATAAGAATGCAACATTTTTGTTTCTATTATTTACATTCTCCCCTAAACAACAACAAAAAACAAAAAAAGTGGATTTTTGACTTTCAACAATACCATCTACCTGCACAGCATCAACTTCCAGCCTTGGTCATCATATGTCCTCCTTTTAGAGTTTGAAGCAAACATCCCTTCCATATTCAAATGAACAAAAGAGACAAATGGAGTTGTCGTCTTAGCCTCCTCTGGTTTTACGTTAGATTAAATTATTTAGGGCGCATTCATCTGGTAACCTTTTGCAGAGCTGATGAATGAATACAGGAAACAAACTTTCTGACATACTGCTGCCAAACTTCACAACTAGCTGGCAGAGAGATGGGGGGATGCATCAAGGATGAAAAATTACTGCACGGTCCATCAAGGGAGTGAGAAAGAGTCAAAGAGACCCGCCACCAGAGGCATTGTAGGAGAGAATTGTGTTAGACTATAGTAGCCAAAATCAGAAGGAGCCTGGTAGCACCTTTCAGACCAACAAATTTCATTAAAAGGCATCAGCTTTCATGAGTGACAACTCCCTTCATCAGATACTATATTTAATTTGCCCCTTAGAGATGTAATAGAGAGCCATGAACTTTGAGACACGTTATGTTAGAGAGTAAGTTTTTGATCTCCACTTATGATCCTCTTGTAGATGATTTGCTAAAGAACATGTTACAAAAACAGCTAGCAAGCTTCCAATCTTCTTTCAAAGAAACATCTTCTGCTAGAGTTCTCACACCTTGAGTGACAGATATCCAGAGGACGTAGCACTGGAACCCAGATTTCTCCTACCTGATGTCCTCCGTACAAGTTGGACTTGAAACCTCATCACTCAAGGCAGCTTCCTCAGAGTTTTGCCCATTGCAACTGGAGGACTCCAGCTTGAGAAAGCTGCTTTTAGCTGTTCAGAGTATGAGAAATTAAACTTTATTTTCTTATCAAGAACAAAGAACCCCCAATGATTTCTTGTGAGCCTGACCAGCATTTGCAGCAGAGAACTCCTGCACCTAGACAGTTAAGGGAGATAAGAGCTATTTCAGAGCAGAAATCAGAAGCTGTAGCTCACAAAAGCTCATGCCTTTTAATAAAATGTGTTAGTCTGAAAAGATGCTACCAGACTCCTTCTGATTTTTGGCCACCATCTGAGGGAATCTCAAAGGCTCATCCTGCATATATTACATCACCTCCTCATCCACTGATTCATTTTTAATCCACCAGTTATCAAAGGATATCTGATATTCAAAGGATAGCTGATGCTTGAGGGTAGATTCTTTAACAGAATAAATATGTATGTACCAGCTTCATACTTGCACCATCTTTAATCCCAGAATAAGACTCCCAAATCAGATATGCAGATCTCAGCACAGAACCATAAGATCAAATTCATGACAAGCAACTTGATTCCAATGGCACAGTGGATATCTACAGCACAACCTTGTGTTTGTCAGCTCAGAAATAAATCCCAGTCCATTTGAGGAGCTTTATTTCATAGTATGTTGAGGACTGCTGTCACATAATATTGCACAAGGAGCTCTTGTGCCTAAGAGAACTTTCACTGAGACCAAACAAAAAAAAGGTAGGACACCACCTGCTCACCTACCTATTATAAAACTTTGGGGCACTGGACATTTTATTATTTTCAAAGCATGCCATGAGTTCACTTAGAAAATGCCCATTCACAAAATAGCCCCAGTAGTGGACAAGGAAAGTGAAGAACTACTGATCTGTCAGAAGGTAATATTTATGAAGATACTCCCCTTTGTCCATTCAACCTTCTTAGGATGCCAACTTCCCTCTGTCCTTTCTTTAGAGCAGGTGGACACCTTTGCAAGCAAAGTACCTTCCTTTTGCCCTCCTTAGGAACATATCCAGGACCCAGAGGCACTTTAAGAAATAAGAATTATGCAGGAACATGATGCTTTGCAGCACAGTCTGCTGGTCTCCCATTCTTTAAAATAATAGGAGAAACCCAAAGGAGATATTCATGGGCACTGCACTAGGGACCTCTGCACCATATTGCAGCCTTAAGACGCCATAAGCAACCTTAGGACAACAGCTAGAGGCCAACCCTCCAAGTGAATAAGAGAGTGGGAAGTAAGAAAAAAAAATGATCTCCTGCTCAGAATCTTAAATGAAACCATCTTCAACTGTGTTAAAGTCTGCCCAGTCAGTCCATCACCTCCTTCTGCATATTCCAGAGCCAAGGAACTTAACTGACATTCACACCACTTGGAGGCAAACAGAAGTCAAACACAAAGGTACTCTCACAAAGCGCTCAGGGGCAAATGTTAAAATTCCTTTTGATTGTACTAGTCTTGGTGATCATGGAAATCATTTTCTCCTTTCTCGTGGCTTATGTGACAACACATGAAGACTATGCTCAAGGGCAGTGAACCGGAGAGTTTCAGCTACAAGTTGTAATGTCTCAACAAGCCCCCAGGAACACCTACTATCCTGGTGCTACTCTCAGTGATTACTACTAGTCAACTTCTTTGGAGCTGCTAGATTCTCAGAACAGCTAGGACCAGCCTCGCATCATTGACGTAACTAAGAACTTGTTTCCCTAGCATGTGATTCTTTGAGCGCCACCTGCCTCCTGCCAACATTCCGTGTCCTTGTCAGTCTCCAGGCCACAAGTTGTCTCCTGCAGCTTGATTATCTCAGCCAGCGAATGATGCTCAGAGAAATGTGGCCCAGCCTGGACAGTTCATCTCCAGCAGCAGAGGATGAGAAAGCAGCAGGTCACAAGATTTGGGACTGGTCTTCTTAACTTAGCCAAGGCAGTTCATGACAAATGGAGCTCTCTCGGGTGGACAACAGTTTAAACTCTAACCTCAAATGAAGGGCTGGAAGTTCTCAGCTTTAAAGGCCTTTGACTACGCACATTTTACTTGGCTGGCTGAAATTCAGCACTTACCACATCTGCCACTAAAGATCTGGCACTGTGACTAGATGCTTTTGATGAACCTTAGAGAAGGAATGCAGTTACTGCATGTTAATTACAAGAGCACCAGTTGGGTTGAAAAGCACTCTAGGAATATTTTACATAAACAGTCCAAAGTGGCTTTACTAATCTTGTCCTTAGCCCTGACCCATCTGTGCTGGACACCCACCAAGATTCTTCAACACCAAGATCAGAGACCTCCTTCCATTTTGCCTCCTGCTTGTATGACTCCTGCTTCAAATCCAAAAGGAGGAATGAAATTTCCTTCCATTTGTTGCTGTAGTGAAGGCTATCAAGTATGGATTTCTGATAAATTGATCCAGTGTTATATGCAATATTTAAATTATTTTTCTTAAAAAAGACTGCACATACATACACACTTCCTTGTGAGATGGGCGGTGTCTAAATACACACACACACACACACACACACAAACATATTCTCTACACTATTACCTTACTGGATAAGCAACAGTATGCAAAGAACAGAAAAGTAAGCAAGAGTAGGCCAAGAAATTAAGACATGAGATACAAAAAAGAAAAGGAAATAAAGCTAATCTAACTTCCACCAACTTCATTCACAATACCTATACTAGGAAAACCGGAAGCCAGAAAGGGCCAAGGAAGTGATCTCTTCTTCCCTAGCACTAACAGCAGGGGCAAAGAATCTGCCTAAATGTATAAAATATTGAGAGCTGCAGGAGGACTCTGTGTAGCCAGTTTGGGGTTCAAGCAAGTCCTTTGCTCCCTAAGGTGAATTTCTTGGGTTTTTGTTTCCATTTTGTCTGAACTTGTATGACCTTCTTTCTCTCCCACAGTTCTGCCATTTGCAATGCAGTCCTGTCTCAAGTCTTGGTCTTGTTCAGCTGCCTCTCCTTTATGGTGCCCCTGGCCTGATCCTGCTATGTCTTCGCATTGGATCTCATTGGGTTACTTTCATATAATTTTAACCACTGTTCGTTTTCACCAAATCTGACCGTGCCCTTCTGTGGGAGGGAGGGGAGGTCACATTATAAATATTTTTTTTTCTTGTTTGCTGTTTGCTTTGTAATACAAAATAACTCCATATCCACCTTCCCCAGCCTGGTGTCCCCCCACCTCCCCCGCCCGATGTGATAGGGATCCAATATCTCAGAAGCTGGGGGAAATCTAGAAATTGCAGCCCAAACACAACCTTACTTATCTTCTCTACTGGTTGTATTACCAATGGATGTAACTTTTATTGCCCTCACCTAGAATGTTTTCATCTAAGCACAGAGCCAGAGAGAGAAAGGAGAGAGAGAGAGAGAGAGAGAGAGGGAGAGAGGGAGGGAGAACAAGAATGAGAGAACATATGCAGGTATGAAAGAAAGTGTGGGGTCATACCATGTAAAGCTCCTTAGACAAATCATAAAATATTCTGGCACGCAAAGGTCAGTTACAGGTGAATAAAGCCAAGACATTACCTGAGGCCATCACAAATTCCATTCACTGCTGGAGCCAAGGAGCCTGGTCCCATCAGGACTTCATCCATGAGCACGTCTTCTGAATTGGCAGTGTGGGCTTTAAACCTGCAAGGAAAAAACAGCCACTCATCACTGTAAATATGCTCAAATATTGAGCAAACTATCTGTGCTTTTACCCCATTCCCTTTACTCCTATTTTATACGGTAAGCATATTGAAAATGTTTTGCAATTATAGACACGCTTCTCTGGGAGAACACTCCACCAAACTCTTTGGGGCTTTCTTCGAAGGAGGCATGCATAGCACAGGACACTTCAGGATACTGCCTTCCTAAACATGTATGTTTCCCTGTTCTTTTCTAAGCAGTTGGAGGGCGAGGGAGAGAATATGTCTGAATCAAAGACAATGCCACCAATTCCTGAAGTGAAAAGAAGCAGACTCCCCCCAATGCTCGGGAACTGGAGGAGAACATCAGAAGAGAACTTCCTGAGTCAAAACTTTTTTTAAAAGGCAACCAAATCTTGTTATTATGAAGCCAAAATTCTGTAAACAGATTCCTAATGAGACACAGATAACTCCTACTACTACCTTTACTCCTACAAGAGTAAGTTGGACACAGCTGGAAATGGTTCCCCCTGTCTTCTGCTAAACTTTATAAGATAAGAGGAAATCCTTTTGCCAGAATGATGGGTCACAGCTAACTTAGGTGGCTTTAAGCAAGCTAAATTCATGGAAAATAGGAATTGCAATCCCTGTGAACTGGGAGGGGTGCAGTGAACTTCCATGTAGAGGTACAGGATGGCAACTAGTCCCCAATGTTATTGTCAAGAAGCTGTTGTTTTCCTTGCTGAAGTACTTCTTGAAGACACCTGGTTGGCCACTTTAGGATGTAGATGAGGTAGGCTTTGGATTGATCTATTATATGGGCTCTTTATTTTATTTATTTATTTACTGTATTTATATAGCCGCCCATCTCACATAAAAATGACTCTTGTTTGTTACTGTTATTCCCATTATCAGTCACTGCTGCCATGGGGGGGGGGTTCTAATTAGACTCCAACACTTAATGCTTCCTCTTAATACAAGTGTGCTTGCACACGCACACAGAATGTTGATCCAAACTTCAAAAGTGGTAGAGGGAGTTGTGTAAAACAAGCAAAACAGAAGACAGTAAGGTTAGATTTTCTACCTATCTCCCTCCCAGCACCCAGCAACTGCAGCAAAAGACAAAAGGGATCCCCTCACCGCTGCAGGAGTATACCGCATACCATGCAGTTGCGGACAAGTATACATCGGGACCACAAAA